GAAAACGGGAATCTCCGGAGTAGGAGATCCCCTGGGATTGTCCTTTTTGCTCATTCCTGCCTTTTTTTGCCCCCAAAACGCTCCAGCACCACAAGAAATACCAACACGTCCACCAAAAAACCTTCACCTGCTCCGAGCCGACATGCGGAAAATCCTTCAACTTCAAGAAGCACCTGAAGGAGCACGAGAAGCTGCACAGCGGTGAGTTCCGAAATCTGGGAATACCCCCAAAATCTGGGAATTTCCCAGAGCACAACTCCATGGAATCAGAGGGAATCACAGGATCTCCTCGTCAGAGTTTTCCATCCCGCAATTCCAGTGTCACCTCAAGCCTTGGCTGGTGGCATCTCCCTTGGTGTTCCTTGTATTCCAAGCGCTGGTTTTCCATTCCCTTTTCCTCATTTGGGTTCCTGGGAGATGTTAAGGCTCCGGGCTTGCTTCCCGCTGCCGGGATCTTCCCGAATCCCGTGTTTTTCTGCAGACAAGCGGGATTATATCTGCGAGTTCTGTGCCCGGCCCTTCCGCACCAGCAGCAACCTCATCATCCATCGGCGCATCCATACGGGAGAGAAACCACTCCAGTGAGTAGGAATCCCCGCTTCCAGAGGGGGATTTGGGAAAAAGGAATCCGCGGTGAACATGGAGAGCGGATAGGGAATAGCAGCACTTCTTATCTGGAGCGGAGATGCACAGAGCGTGTTCCTTGTCGGGAACTGCTTTTACCCGGAGGTATCCGCTCTGGAATTTCGGGATGCAGCCAAATATGCTCATTCCTGGAGTTTGGAAGGAATCCGATGCTCTGAATGCGGAAGCGCCGCAGCAGGGAGTGCATCTAAATCCCAAATTAAACCAATCCTGTCATCCCGAGCATCATTCCCAGCTGCTCCTTCCCAGTCGCCTCATTCCTTGCAATGGGGAACTCGCCCCTTTTGCCGCTTCCGTGACTTCCTGCCGCGAATCCCGGGTTTTTGGCCATTCCAGGTGCGAAATCTGCGGCTTCACGTGCCGCCAGAAGGCCTCGCTCAACTGGCACATGCGGAAACACGACGCCGACGTCTTCTACCAGTTCCCGTGCGAGCTCTGCGGCAAAAAGTTCGAGAAAAAGGACAACGTGGCGGCACACAAGAGCAAAAGCCACCCGGAGGCGGCCGGAATTCCGACAGAAACACCTGGAATGCCGCCGGAGACACCTGGAATCCAGCTGGAGACACCTGGAATCCTGCCGGAGGCACCAGCTCCTGCTCCAGCCCTCGCATTGGCATCCCAATAAAGTTATTTTTGTGTAAATTCCGTAAATTCATGGTTTTTTTCCCCACTATGGTGCAGGAAACTGTACCAAAATTTGGGAAACATGGCTTTTTCCAGCTGGATTTGGACTCCTCCAGGGTGAAAAAAGGGGATACTGCTGCTCCCAGAATGGGCTTGAAAGGAATTTGGGCTTCTTAGGATGGGGAAATTCCAGGCATCCTCTCAAAAAAGGGTCAGGGCCCTCCTGCAGCACGGGAATTTTCACTGGGAATATTTGGGAATGTCACTGGAGGTGGGATTAAAGCCACTTACCAGGGAGGTTTCTACTGTTTTAAGCATTTTTTAGACCTTTGCTTGCAGCGGCAATGCTCCGGATCCCACCTGGGAAGAGCTTGTACGAAGAGGGATGCAAGTCTGGGAAAAATAGTTGGAGCAGAGCACTGGGAAAGCGGAGCCATGCCCCAAATCCTCCTTTTTCCAGCCACAAACAGCGCCAAATCCCGACAAGGCTCTCCCATCCAAGGATCAGCAACCGTCGCTTCTTGGGAGCATCCTAGGAGGACAGCTCTTCCCAAGGGAGCATCCTAGGAGAACGGCTCTTCCCAAGGGAGCTGGAGGACGACATTCCCAAAACGGCTTCTCCGCTCTCCAAAAGGCTCCACAGACACAGCCAGATATTTCCTTATGGAGCGCAGCACCCGAGGGCTCTTTCACCTGCCTTTTTCCTCAAATTTGGGATCCATCCGGGGATTAAGGTGGATTCGGAGCCACCAGGACACAGGGAAGAGCG